ATTTGAACTTAAGAAATTTCGCATACAAAGACACCAAAACTTCCGGGCTATCAGTGTCGGTATTCATGTCAGTGCTGTTGCTGAGATGTTTCCAGACGCTGGAAGCGAGCATGTCAAACCCCCATCACGGCAGCTAGTACCTATTGTTTTGTTCGATGTACGTAAAGCTACCTTTTGGGGGTCAGCCGAATGGTCGTTTTCTTTCTCGTGCCGATGTCCAACCGTTGCTGGCAAGGCAAGCAATATTTAAGCCCCCTATAAATGCTGCCGTTCTTTATGCCAAACCTAGCGAGATGACATTCTAGTTCAGGATTTTGCAAACTGGCAAAGAGGCATGCATTACGGCAGACTGCATGGAAGAAGCTCTGAGCACACAGTTTGATAATTTTTTAGGCGAGAGATATTAGAAAAACTGACGAGAAAATACCGCAACGACGTCAGGCTAATTTCTCAAATTATCAATGGTAAAATTATTCGAATATGATACGAAAGGCAATAAAACACTAAGAATGTTAAAAGAATGCAACGAAAGCAGTCATTGTCGTGAAAGACCTTTTTCAAATACCTGCATGAAATTATTTGAATGAGAAAGGCTCAAAATAGCAAGTATGGAGAAGTTACCAGCTGCATCGATGGAGAGACGTGACGATGAAGCAGAAGTTGTTCGGAGAAACTATATATTTAGTTTTTATTATGCAATAACTTTTAAAAGAGAACGTGCGGATCAGAGCGTGCTAAGATGTTTTTTAATGGACTCTTCCAAAAAAATAGATGAGCTGTTTGAAAATTTAGCGAAGAATCTTGAATACGTCACTTCTCGTCAACGCACAAAAAAAGCGGGCACAAAACTTCTTGAAAAATGAATAAAAACGGCAAAGCCATTGCCGATTATCTTTCGATCACCGATCACTGAGCAAATCTTCGTGCATTCTACCAAGCAAACTCATCCAGTAAAATGAGTTTTGAAATTTGCTATGATATTTTCAGTGCAAATGCAATCCCAGTGCCTCATCCCAGAGCGCACCTGCCTCATCACAGAGCGTGGGAGTGCCAGCTTCTGGATTTACGATGCACCGTTTACACCCGAACAACACCTGACCCACTATATATCCCGTCCTGTCGCGACTCGGTTTTTCGGATTGCTACTAGCACGCTCAATCGAATACTGGCTGAAAGCGGCTTCAGATAACGATGGCAGTCCGCAAAGGCTTAAAGCGCACAAAATAACGGAATCTATTAGGTCATCGTACACTGGGTTTCCGTACAGTGCATCGTGAAAGTAATTTTGTGAAAGCTGCGTTATTACCGGCAGCAATGGTACTAGAACCGTCCAGATAATTGATGTGAGGAGTGCTCACATAATCATGTGAGTACTGTAGTGCTCTCACTTGCCGAGCACAACTGTATAGCAGCCACATACTTCAGTCTTGAGCCACGCACTTCCATTTACTTCTGTTCTTACTATTATTTTCAGTATTATCACTGCCTTTATGTGTTAGAGCAAGCAAGTGTCAGCCATTGATACTCCTCAAATTAAGAAATTAATTAGTCAGAAAAGAAAAGCTTTCGTACAGCTAATAACTTATATTCAGAGCCGGCGAAGGACATCCTAGATGCGCACTTCTTAATTTAATACTCAAACTTAATCTTATTTTGTAGAGGTGGGAACATGCTGCAGAGATGAAAGCCTTTTAGATGAAAGCCTCAGCACCAATAACATAGCCCGATAATTCATGTGAATACTTTGATTAGGGTACCGTCGTTCCCCGACCACGCATCTGGCAACTTTTCTCAGTTGTCCTGACCAACAGCCTGTTGACGTTTGCTTTATATGGGTGAATTTAAGTGGTTCTGAGCACAGAACTTTGAACTGGTAGTTCTTTCAAAAAACAAAGAAAAACATTAAAATTTCATAAAACTGAAGGTATTTTTGACAGTTTTTAAAGAAAATACTATCCGGTAATTATTATTTCCATAACCACAAAGTTATCAAAAAAATGCGATGGAATTGTGAAAAAAAAGTATAATACATTAATTTATAATTTACATTAATTTTTGAGAGGCTGCTAAAAATACAGAAAAATTCTCTTCATTTGCTTCTCCCATGCCACATCTTCTTGAGGTTATGTTAATACTAAAGCAGACCACCAGTACAAATATTGCGTGTGAAGCTTTTCTTCTGCTATTTCAGCACCACAGAACTCGAGAACTCACAGTAGTCTCAAAATACATGGATTAACTAACCTCTTGCGTTCCATCCAGTATCTCAATGTCCGGGGTGTAAGTCATCGCAACAATTCCCCAGTCACATTCTCGAAATCGTATGATTGGTAGTGAACGGCTACTAAAAAAAATATTTGTAGTAGAGCTTTTTTTCCAGTCACGTCACAAAAATAGTTTGAAAATGCTAAACTGTGTTAGTATGCTAAAATTAGTTCCTACAAAAGCAAAATTCGATGCCAATTTTTTCACAAAAAAGGGGTCGGAATGAAATTAAGTTTTTACCTTTGGAAAAACTGGATAAGGTGGGCATCAACGCACATACCCATGTTAGTGATATTACTGGGATACTCGTACACACTATGAGCAGCTAAATCATCCCTTTGATCTTGTACTGCGCACCTCTAATAATAATACTCATCATCCCCTCCAAGTATGTGTCGCATCTTTTTCATGTTACCTGGGTAGCCATCTACTTTCAGCGGATACCCCTTGCTGATGTGTCGCATCATCGGTTTTTAGCTAAAAGCAATATGTCATGCCCTCAGATTTTACTTTCTTGCCTGGTCGCATTGATATGCTACAACACCAAATTGTGGTGGCACTGGAATTATGCTACAGCACCAAATTTTCGATAGGAATTTGTGGAGAAAGTAAAAATCCGCGTGAAGACAAAAAACAAAAGAAGGGTATGAGTGTTCTAGGGACAAAAAAATCAAACCTTATTTGAAATCCTGGATCCTGTCATCATTTCTTTCTGCTTCTGGTTGAGAACATTTCAAGAAGTGCGGAAATAAAATGCTACTGATGAATTCTGAAAATAAGCATCAAATGCATTGTCTTCTCAGATGTATTAGTTGACAGCTCTGCAGTTGACGAAGATTTTGCTGCCTTCTCGAATACGATGTCACCCAGAATGGCAAGGTTGTGCCCCCAAGAGACTCTTTCGAATATGAATCAGTGGTGAACCAGTGGCCATTTCAACTATTCAAGCACAACTGGGGATAATAGTAGCCTTAACATATAGCAAGCTTTACACGGGAAAGCATGTCGCATAGCGAGAAATGTAATGAGCATACACACAGTTAAGCTCACGCAAAACAAGCCACCGACAAGCTGGAGCAGCAGCCGCAACAGCAGCTGCTGATATCAAAGTGAGTGTCACAGCTAGCTCGGAATTAGAGGATTAAAGGGGATGGGCTTGTAGCCAAGGGGATGATAGCAAGCAGGTTGTGGGTACGGCACTTATTCATCTTAATTTCACTGAAAGCTCTATTTCAAAGGCTATCAACAACAAGACATGAGAACCGCAGTGTCCCAGTAAATGATTTTCAAGGGATTCTGGATGAAGGCTTAATTTTTGGAATTTTTAGAATTTCTGAAATTCTGATTCTCGGATTCAGCATCCGACAAAATGAGCCTCTCGCGCTGGAAATAATATGGGAGGTGATGTTTCGATGTGGTCAAGAGACAGCATCCTGAACCAACAACGGATCTCTAATTCTTTAGGAATGATTATGAGTGACCAGCAGAAGTGCAGCAAATCACGCCAGGAGTTTTCCAGAGCCAATGTTTTCGATGCAACAGTGCAACTTGGAGTGGAACACACGTGTTCCTGGAACATCTGTTTTCATCACATTTACGCAACTAAATGCTCTTTTGCTTCTCAAAGATCAAATAAGCCCAGTGGCGTAGATCAAATAAGCCCAGCTTCCTTCGGAGAAGCACATCTGGGGACGGGAAACAACGAATTATATCTTCATGGAATTGTGCCTAAGTAACGCATCAGCTTGCTTCTAAGTAACACGTGAAAAAGGGCACCATCATTAGTAGCCTAGCCAGTAATTAGCTACCGCTGCTGGCATAAGCTACAACTCGGGTTACTGGCTCAGCTTCTCGCACAAAGCGAATACAGAGAATGTTTTGACCAAACAAGATCGCTCGGCTTTTATTTTTCAAATGATCCCACATAGCTAGGTTCCTGAAACTTCAGCTTCGTAAATTTTGTGATTCCCGAGATAATAATTACCTGTCAAAACTTTCACGGGGCAAGGGCGCGGGGAAGTACGGGAAGGCTACCCGCAGGTGCGGGGCGGTTGAATTTAAATTTGCGGGGTCGCGCGCGGGTGGGAAACGTTCCCCTAAATTTTCAGATTCCTAGCCTTTCTGGTTCCCAAGTTGAAAGTTGCGGACAGTTTGTCGCGGACACACACACATACATACAGACAATCCGGTGACAATATGTGTTTTGTACTGCTATCACACAGCACAAAACGCGTAAAAAGGTGAACTGAATTCTTGAGACCTTCCAGATTCAAGTTTTGCACACCAATTATAAAGTTAGGGGCTTCGTAAATGTTAGGATTCGCTAAAGTTAGGAATCCTTAGGATAAGGTTTCAAAGGATTTCCAAAGTTGGAAGCCAAAAGACTCAAAGAATTTCAAAGGATTCAAAGGATAAGTTTTTTTCGACAAATTCAGAAAAGCTAGGCGCAAGTCGCAAAAAAAGGTGAAATCCCATTTATTCCATTTGCAAAGCTTCAGTTTACTCCGGAAAAATCACATGAAAACAAACGTAACTACATGCAAGCAAACTTTGTACCACTACTGTGGAAAGGTTTTAAGGTTCGAAGCACTATGTTATTTGAAAGGCTGTGAGAGTTGGACGTAAGTCACAATGAACGCTATCTGAATCTCCAGCAACGCTGAAATCTATGCGTTATCGCGTCTGCCATGGACAGCGCTTGATTTTGCCTTCATTATTTTGGTAGGTGGTAACAGATGGTGCGCTATGAGCAACGATGTTGCCAACTATTATTATCACAAAAGATGGTAACAAAGGTTCTCAAAGCTCACTTTGTGAAAAGGTCTTACGTCCTTCAGGTGTTCTTCAGTGAGCGGCGAACGGAACCGAAGACAAGGGGCAAACGGTATGCAAGAAACGTTGCGTTGATGGGGGAGGAAGACGCAGCAAGACGAAGTATCGAAGCCGTTGTTCCGTCGATGCCGTTGCTTCGTCGAACACAGAACAATAATACAAAGGAAGACATTGCAATACGACGTATATATAGGCTGAAGAAGTGGCGGGAGCAAGGAGAGGAGCAGAATCTATAGGCGTGAGATACGTATGCAATTTGCAAAAAATGAAGGGGCAGCGGATTACACAGCAAAAACATCGTTATTCTTGAACTTTTTTTTTCCGCTCGCTACCGTGAGAAGTAGATACTCAGGAGGGCGTGAGGAGAGTTCAGAAAGTCCAAGAAGACTTTTATGATACTACTCACCCTGCTTTTTTGGCCCTCGCAGATGCGTACTGCTTGTGGAGACAACAAATATCTATGAGGCGTATAAAAATATATTCCACAAATACAAATAACAATAAATCGAGACATTTGGTGGGAAATTCCGCAACTCAGAAACTACACTCAGGCAATGTGTCGTAGGAGCGAGGCCTAAATAGAAATGAATTGGAAAAGCTATAGGTAAACTAATGGTGCAAAAAACGTCGCACGGAAAAAAGAACGGACAAAACCACAAAAAAAGTGTCCACTCCAACTTCTCGCGTTACCCAATCAGAACAATATGCAGTCGATGTGCTAAAAACTGCGAAATTCCAAGCTGCGCCATAATTTTACAAATTAGACATTGAATGTTATGGCATAGTGAAAAATTTTCAAAAACACTTCTAGTAACGCAGTACCCGTGTAAAATCCTTGCCAGTTCAGTGAACGACATTTTAAGACATATTTTGGGTCTCGCTAACTGGCACTTCAGTTCAAATCTTCCTGCGTAATGCCTGTGTGGAGGTGACTAATTTATGTCTTGCCTCGAGGGACTGCATTTTGAAAGTGGGTTTGGCTTTCGCCTACTGACACGAGATGGGGGAGGGGGAGAGGGAGGGTAAGGAAAGGATGAGGGGTTTTCTGCAAAAATTCGAGATTTTTGCTTTATTCAGCTTCACTGACATTCCAGTTGTTCAGTTGCATCTCTCCAAAACTTTGTTACAACTATCGGTTTTTCATGTTTTGTATTGATAAATTTTGGAGTTAAATGCTAGTTTCGTTTAAGCTTTTGCACTCGCAGATTCATAAATAGGAATTTACATGTTCCAGGCAAATAGAGACAGCTTCTTACAGTTTTTGCGCTTTCAGCTTCCTAAAGTATCAACTTCATAAATAGGGAAGTCCCCTACTGATGACAGGTTTTTCTTTTGCTTGTACTTTTCTTTTTTGGTTTAGGGTCACATTTTTTTTTTGATTTTGCTTTTATTCTTGTGTCCCGGCTTGCTTTAATTTACTTTTTTTGTGCTGCTTTGTTTTCTCTTTCTCTTTACTGCTGTCTGCAATTTTTGCCTCGAACTCCTGACTTGTGTCCTCGTTTCCTTTCTTTACTCTGTCCTGAAATCCAGCCTGCAAAGCAACCTCTAAGCTCCTTTTCATCTCCACTACAAGAGCACTCTGGAAGCAAGCAATGCTTCAGTCCTTTTCCTGTTCCCGGGTATCCGTGGCAAAAACCAGCAGCACACTTCCTCCTCTTTTTCATCCATTATCCTCGTCCCCCTCTTCCTTACATAGCCTAGGCAACTGCCAAAGTATCGACACCACCTCCACATTCAATCCACTTAACCAATCCCCGAGACCGGGACCCCCACAAAGAGTCTCCCCCTCCCCGCGTCACCTGCCGCATCCAGCGCTCTTTGCCGCAGTGGGGTAAGGACACCCGAAAAAAATCGTTCGCAAATCGTGTACGACACCGGCCGAGCCGCGGTTTAGCAATTGCCATTCCTTGTGCACCGCAAGAAATGACGCTCCGAGTTTCCCCGTGTTCCGGATACGCATCGAGTGCTGTTTCCCAGCGTACACGTTATTACGTGATACAATGATATGGCGTCGGGGCCCTGACGTTCCTCTGGGATTG